TTTGGCGCAGTCATCAATGTGAAAGTGATTTGAGACTTCAACACCAACAAGTGCAAAGGCTTTGGTTTTGAGACCATGACAAGCGATGACCATAGCAAGTCTGATCAGCTTCTGCCTGGAAAACAAAATCTTACAGGTTTCCTTCAAAACCAACAAGCCTCACAAATAACTCACTCATGCCATTTTTGCATGGAATAGATAATTCAGAGTGAAGAAGTGGAAACTTTGTTAGTGTACAACTCATTTTGTGCCGATTTTCACAAGTGTTTGTCTTAGTCTAAATGAGACGTGGAAAGGTTTTTATATTCTGAGATGCAACCAACATGCTCAAATGTTTGAAATCCCACAATGTTAGACCAACTTTAAGTTTCTTACGTTATTTCCTTTAAAATATATGTTAAATAGAAAGATATCTAAGTAGACTGCATTGACTAACTAGTCCCTCGGCATGATGGTGAAATGGAGGCATGCTTTAACTTCTAAGACTGACACTCAATTCATTCAATGCCTCCACAAACTGGGTTTTTAAAAAAATTACCTTTTAGCCCTGGCCAGTTTGGCTCAGCAGTTAGAGTGTCGGCCTGCGGTCCAGAGAGAACTGGGTTCAGTTCCCAGTAAGGGCATGTACCTCCTTTGCAGTTTGTCCCGACCCAATCATGTGGGTGGCAGCCATTGGGTGTATCCCTTTCACGTCAATGTTTCTCTCTCTCTCTCTCTCTCTCTCTCTCTCCCTCCCTCCCTCCCTTCCTCCCTCCCTCCTACTCTATCTGAACAAAATATGGAAAAATGTCCTCAGGTGAGGATTAAAAAAAAAAAAACTCCCTAAAAAAAAATTACCTTTTAGTCATTTTTAAACTAAAGATGTTAGATGCTGAGTGTACATTTTCTCCACTGCTTCAACATTTTAAACAATTTCTGCTTTAGTTGACATGAAATTGCTTCCCCAAGCAGTTCTCATTGCCACTTCCTGCTCACTCAGTCCTGGCTTCTGCTGAGTGGTCCTCACAGTGGCCGCAGGCTACTACAGGGGAGGGGGCCACATGCCAGGCCCTCTAGAGGACACAATGTTTCCTAAATCCAGATGTCAATGGAAAGGGAGGAAAGAATTGCAGGGAAACTCCATATATTCCTAAATCCGATCTAATCCCCAGGCGTACCTGAAGATGTGTTGATCCTCCGTACATTCTGAGTTCCTGCCCACACATTGCATGTACAGTGCCCCACACATCAGATATTGTTGTTCACAGTCATTTCTCCAGTTTCCAAAAGCATTTGACATAGCTCGAATGCATAATAAGGTAGCTCTATTTTTAATAACAAATATTTGAGCATTGTATTTTTTGAATCCCTTCTTGTGAGTGCTAGACATTTTTCTATTTCAGTAGGACTTTGTTTTGAAACTTTGCTTTCATATAAACACTCAGCAGAAAAGTACTTACTTTCTGCCAATTACCTATTAACCAAAAAGCCTTTTGATTTGTAATTTTAAAGATTAACCCTCAAAGTTCTCTTTATATTGCTTTGACATTTTTGGTTGTTCTGTTGTTCATTTTCTTTTGCTTTTTTATGTTTTTACCTTTGCATTTAAGACCATTAAATTTGATCTTGTTTTGCTCAACCACAAAAAAAGTAACCAATCAGATGCAATCTTATTATGTGATGTGACCAATAAGATGCAACTCTATTATATGACCAAATACTTGTGGTTCAAAACAGGGCATTCACACTAGATGGCTATTGTTGTGTTGGCTGTTATTTTTTTTATTTGACAAGCTAAGGAAAAAGAGGTCAGTACCCCTGACTAAATACTCAGGTATTGCATGTTTTAAAAATTGTTGTGGCACACTGGTTGAAAATCATTGCTATAACGCATTTGTCAAAATCCTTAGAACTTTATAGCACAAAGAGTGAACCTTAATATATGTAAATTAAAAAAATTATTTAGGCCCTGGCCAGTTTGGCTCAGCGGTTGGAGCATCGGCCTGCAGATCAGAGTCCTGGGTTCGGTTCCCGCTAGGGGCACGTACCAAAATAAAAAAAAAGTTGCTTAGGAGGTCAAGGGATCCCAAGAAAGAATGCAGTGTGACTAAATGTAACTGTAATACAAATGTATGAAATGGTGTTACTAAAGGGAGTGGTGGCGGGGGAGGAGTGCTGGCCTAAATAACTTTGGAAATGAGTGAAGTCTCTAAGACTAAAGGCAAAAGGAACTGCACATAAGCACTGTACTCTAGAAGGTGACTTCCCATGGGGTTATGGGTTAGTAATTCTGAGGCTCCTATATATGTATACTGGAATTGAACAGTTAAGCAAATACATCATGGTAGGAGCCAGGTTTCTTCTCATCGTTGGAGTGAGAGTTTACAGATAAACAGAGATGACCCATATAGTAATAGGTTAGAGATGGAGACATCAGTATGAACTCATGTTTAGCTTAATATACAGATGGTTACATATAAAAATATCTATAGAACCCTGGCTGGTTTGGCTCAGCGGTTTGAGCATCAGCCCACGGACCAGAGAGGCCCAGGTTCGGTTTCCCCCTCTCTTCCTCCCACTCTATCTGAAGATAAATGGGAAAAAAAACAAAAAACTATTGACATGTATACATATATGTGTTAGTATACACAAATATGTTTACTTCCTTTCCTAGCTGAGAGGGTCTGGAAGCAATGACAACCCCATAGCAGCAAGCATACCCAGTACCCAGATTTTGTTTCAATAAAAAGCTTGCCCTGGCTGGTTTTGCTCAGTGGTTAGAGTGTCAGCCCACAGACTGGAGAGTCCTGGGTTTGGTTCCCGCTAAGGGCACGTACCTTGGTTGCAGTTTGTCCCGGCCCAGGTTGGGGTCGTCTGGGTGGCAACCACTCGAATATGTCTCTCTCACGTTGTTATTTTTCTCTCTCTTCCTCCCTCTCTCCCTCCCGCTCTATCTGAAGAAACATGCAAAAATATCCTTGGGTGAGGATAAAAAAAACAAAACTGGGGCTCCTTGGAGAAATGACTGATGCTAGGACTGGGGGAGAAAATATACAAAATGAACCTGAAGTATTATGTTGCCGAAATGTAAGAAAATGATTTAATTTACTTTTTTTTTTTAACTTAAAAAATGTACTGACTGCCCTGGCTGGTTTGGCTCAGCGGTTAGAGTGTCGGCCTGCGGACCAGAGAGTCCCGGGTTCAGTTCCCACTAGGGGCATGTACCTCAGTTGCAGTTTGTCGCCAGCCCTGGTTGGGGTCGTGTGGATGGCAACCACTTGTTGTGTCTCTCTCACATCGATGTTTCTCTCTCTCTTCCTCCCCCTCTCCCTCCTGCTCTATCTAAAAAAATCAATGTAAAAATATCCTCGGGTGAGAATTAACAAAAAAGAACAAAACAACTCCCATCCAGTAGCTTTGGGGGGAGTACTCCTTTTCCAGGACCCCCTCTAGAGCCCAGGAGAAACCCCATTATCTACTCTACCTTCCACCCCTCCTGAATCATACTAAGGCAGTACCCTGGTGGGATAGAAATGCTTCAGGCCAAGTTGGCAGGGTCTCCAGGCACTTCCAATGCAGTGAAGGAGCCCGAAAGCAAACAATGGCTAAACAAATAGAGAAATGTGGGTGAATGCTTGAGGAGCAAAGCAGAACTGAAAGTGGCTTGAACTTGGAAAGATAAAGTTCAAGGAAAGGAATGATTTGGAGATCACCAAACGAAGGGGAGGGACAAGGATATCCTAATCTGGACGTCGTTGGAGGTCATACTAAGGCACAGGGGGTCTAACAGCTCTTGACTTTTCAAAAATCTGTAAAGTGAACACCTGCAATCCAACAGTTCCACCTGGGTTTAGGCAATAGAAGCTCTGAAATGTTAAGTAACTTGCCCAAGGCCATTAGCTGGTAAGCAGGAAGAACCAAACTGGAACTTAGAAGGCTCTCTCCGTCTGGTGACAGGTCTCTCACACAGGTGTGCCCTCTACCTCCTTCTCCAACCCCGCATGACTGGTCCTATTCTCCTGCCTTTTCCCAGCTAACTTCCCTAGTCTCTTTTCTCAGAACTTCTGTGACTAACCATTATCAGACTCATGAGCAAGGGCAGGAAGCCAAAATCTCAGGATCTCTCCCACCACTTGCTGGCCCTGTGTAACCTAAGCCCCAAAGATCTGAATTTCTGCCTTGGCATGTCCTGCCTCCAGGTTGCTGAGGTTCAAAAGGGCATAGGCATGAGACTAAGCTCCCTCGACCTCCATCAGGCCCGCCTCCCTCCGTGCCCGCGGCCAGCCACACCCCGGAGCTGGAACCACCTGTCCCATCCAGTAGGCGAGGCTCATATGCCTTGCGGACAGAGCCTTAGGTTCCAGGCTGTCCGGGCACCAGAACCTATCAGGGCGTGGATCTACAGTTGGGCAATTCCACCTGGGATAGCAGGCGAAGGAGGGGACCCCTCCACCCGCAGGAGGGGCACCCCCAAACACCCCAACGGTGGACTGCTGCCTTCGCGCTCCTCCTCTGCGCCCGTCCAGTAACCCAACGTGCAACTTCTGCCCACCAATAACAAAACCTCCGCTCCCAGGGACTCCTTCCAAAGACCCGAGGCCGCGACCCAGACCCTGGCAACGATCACCGCGCCAGAGCCGCGAGAGTTAATTTCAACTGCCTCTCTGCCGGTTCCGCAGAGTCAGGTCGCCCGGAGCACCTCCCAATGGCGGTGGAGACTGCTCGGCGCTGATTGGCTGAGCCTCTTTAAGGCTCCTCATTGGACGCTGCGCATTAAGACTGGAGTATGGCGGTCCCGCCCCCTCAGGCTACCGGGCGAAGCTGCCGCGGACTCCCGCTGTTCCCCGGGGACGCTCAGCCCTGACCGGAGTCCCGACCTTTCTTCTCCAATCCAGCAACTGGACATCTCGTTGCTGTCCTGGGGACGCCACTGGATCTTCTCCCGGTTCCTTTTCCTCCATAACCTGCTGGGTTTCCTTTTTTTTTTCTTTCTCCCAGGCTTCTAGTTCCCAGCGCCGCGTTTCCCATCCCTACTCCCGGGCCCCCAGTAGCCGGCCATTCTCAGCATCCCACCTGCCGTCCTGCTGGCTTCTGCCCCTCCTCGACCTCAATTCCCCTGACCAAGAGAACCCTGTCCTAACCTTCTCGCCAGACTCAACTAAACTCCTCTTTCTTCTCTTTGCCAGCTCCTGACTCCCAAATTCCAGCTAACATTTGACCTTTTGACATTTGACTCCAGAACTTGAAATTCCTACCCTTTGCACACTGGAATGCTGAAACAGGTCTTTCCTGATTTCTGACCGTTTCTGAAGGTCATTTTGACTTTATTACTTCTGGGCCAGTTCTTGCTACTGCTACCCAACCATGGACTTCTTGATGAGTGGCTTGGCAGCCTGTGGTGCCTGTTTGTTCACCAATCCCCTGGAGGTGGTGAAGACTAGGATGCAGTTGCAGGGAGAACTGCAGGCCCCCGGTACCTACCAGCGGCACTACCGAAACGTCTTCCATGCCTTCATCACTATCGGCAAGGTGGATGGACTAGCTGCCCTGCAGAAGGGCCTGGCCCCTGCTCTCTTATACCAGTTCCTGATGAATGGCATTCGTCTGGGCACCTATGGGCTGGCTGAGGCTGGGGGCTACCTACACACAGCTGAAGGCAACCTCAGCCCTGCCCGCAGCGCAGCAGCTGGGGCCATGGCTGGTGTCATGGGTGCCTACTTGGGAAGCCCAATCTACATGGTGAGAAGGGTCTTGCCTTGGGCCTTCAAGGCAGACACTTGGTATAGGGTGGGGATCTGGGCCTTCCTTCATAACCTGATACTGAAATTGGAAGTGGATTTGTGTAGGGGAGGGTGAGGAATTTGAGTAACATACCTCAGCTAGTGTAGAGATCAGGGGAAGTACTGGACATCACAGAATTATAATCTCACAGCCCCCTTTGAGTTATCTTGTATAGGTGAAGGGTCAGTAGCCTGAGGCCAAAGAGGGGAAGTGACCAGCTCAAGGTCACACAGCTGCTTATTGCTAGGACTAGGCCCTGCTTTGTGCTCCTCCTGGAAAGACACTGAGAGGCAGCGTAAGCTTAACACATGCCCACATGGGACTTTGGGGTCAGAGAGCAAGTTTTGTAGATGACTCCCACAACCCACTCCAGAGTCTGATGGGGAGCCTGGTTGTGCTGGTAGCTGAAGATCCTGTCCGGGAATAGGAACTGGCATGAGAGGCTGGACACCTAGGTCTTGCCAAACATGAACAAACATGAAGTTTACCATTCTCCAATCTCTCCATCCCCACCCCTACCCACAAGGGAAGAATGATGTAGAGGGAGTGAGGCGTCTTGCGGTGCTAGGAGATACACCCCCCAGGGACTGGAGCCAAGAGACAGAATCTCATGACCAATTTGTTAAATGGGAACAACGATGATCAGGTTAAAAAGATATTCATTGTTGAATACCCTAGAGGAAGTGTGAGGGGTTCAGGTATTTGGGTCTCTGCGGTGAAAGGATGGTCACTGGGCCAGAGATTGTGATACTCTCTCATCCCCAGGTGAAGACACACCTACAAGCACAGGCAGCCTCAGAAATTGCTGTAGGGCACCAGTATAAGCATCAGGTAAGGTGTTTCCAACCCTACTACTGGAGCCTCTGCCCATTCTCTCCCATTAGCCCCCTGCTTTCTGCCTGCACCCAACAGCTCCAACCCAGCCAAGGCCCTGTCCAGCCAACCACTTCAGCCTCACTCTGCCCCTGAAGTCCACCCAGGCCCTCTTTCCCACATCTTCCCTAGTTCCTCTAGTCTTCTGCACCTGTTTCTCCTGCCCTGTTCTAGTTTGCTAATGTCCTCACTTCCATACTCCCTAGTCTAGGATGGCAAGGGAACAACGCGGTGGTAGACAACTGAAGGGCCACATTCTAGCGTTATGCTCATACAAAATTGGGTGTCCAGACATCAGATGCCTGTTAAGGACTCATCTTTAGCAGTGTTAGGAGATGGTAGCCCCTGATGGCAGGGTGACTAAACCCCACTCCATGGTCTTCCCCCTACCAGGGCATGTTTCAGGCACTAATCAAGATTGGCCAGAAACATGGTCTGGTGGGGTTGTGGCGTGGGGCCGTGGGCGGCCTGCCTCGAGTTATCATCGGTTCCTCCACCCAGCTGTGTACCTTCTCATCCACCAAGGACCTCATGACCCAGTGGGAGGTACTGCCTGGGAAATGGGAGTGTGGGCAGGGGGAAGTGAAAGCTAAACAAGCCCTAGAGGGGTCATTACCAACATTTAATGTGAAGGAGTGGCAGGACAGCTTGGGGGTCACTCTCCACACCTTCCCACAGCTCTTGTCACTTCCTCCCAGAAGGTGTACCTGAGTTCTTCACAGTGTTATCACACTGTATTGTAACTAAGAGTGGAAGCTCCGAGTTCCCAGCTCTACTGTATTCCCAGTGCAGGGCTTGTTCTTTCCTAGTAGTTGAGTGATTAACAAAGCTCTCCCTCCCTCCCCTTAGGTATTTCCTCCCCAGAGCTGGAAGGTGGCTCTGGCAGCTGCCATGGTGAGTGGCATTGTGGTGGTCCTGGCCATGACACCCTTTGATGTGGTCAGCACAAGGCTCTACAACCAGCCCACAGACACTCAGGGCAAGGTAAGGGAGTGCTCTGGGGTTCAGACAGGCAGGGAAAACTGGAGGGAGAGGGAGAGAGCAGATTGCAGGTGCAAGTGGGACAGCCTAAAAGGTAGCCTGCAGAGGTGAGGCCCCTGATGGGCTTTAACAAACTTCTTCCTTATTTTCTCTTCAACCTGCTCTTAGGGTCTCATGTATCGGGGAATGCTGGACGCTCTGCTGCAGACAGCTCGGACAGAGGGTATTTTTGGCATGTACAAGGGTATAGGAGCCTCCTACTTCCGCCTCGGCCCTCACACGGTCCTCTCCCTCTTCTTCTGGGACCAGCTTCGCATCCTCTACTACACATACACCAAGTAACAGCCACTCTTCCACACTCCACCAAATCGGCACTCCTTGGACACTTCTGACTCCATTACTATGTCCTGGTGACTTCTGCCCAGGTGACCTTTTATCCATCAAAGGGGGATAGCCAATCTCACTATTTTCTCAGGGTTGAACCACTACAAGAGATAGTTTCCCTCCCTTCCTTGGGTGTCATTTTAAACCTTCACCTGTCCCCCGGTACATTTCACTCCTTTCCCTCAGGGCTGAACCAGTCACTCCAAAGTGTATTTCCTCCCTTTCTCCACTGCCAGCCTTGGGTCCCTTCTGATCACATGAACAATTTTAAATTCCCCCTCCAAGACCAAAGGGAATTGGGGAGACCCGGGTGTCCTGTTAGATTCAAAGGCACAGAGATTATATTGGTTATAAAGCAAGTTTATTTCTGCAGAGAGGTGTCTTATGTTTATGCACAAAGAAGGAATTTGGGGTATATATCTAATCCTTTGTTCCCCTTGTAGAATGGGGTCCCCAAGTCTTCAGCAGCATCATGTAGCATTTCAGCATCTTTACTGGGGACCAAAGATGTTGGGATTATGAAGAGTCAGACTGGTCACCAGCTGTTCAAAGTCACCCAGGCTCCAGGGTGGAAGTGACAGATTTTCAGGGCCAAGAGATGACCTACTGTCAGGGCTTGGGGGTGGGGGAACAGATGGGGAGAGAACATTATCCAGGCCTCATGTTTATTTGGAAGTTCCCACTTCCTGTTCCTCCTTGGAGGACCTAGGTATCTGTGACCCCAAACTTCTAGCCCCTTCTCACTTCCTTGGAGAACCCTCACCAGCCAGCCTCCCAGCTCTGCCCCTCCCAGCCAATTTTCCTGGGTACCCCACTCATAAGCCACATGCCCTTTCTGTCCTTACGGGGGCTGATTGAATGTGAGCAGGAGATCAGTCTGGTACTGAGGCAGCCTCAGCAAGGCTTGGTGCAGTGTCACGTCCTTTGCTACCTAAAAGGATCAGTGTCAGGATGCTTTAGGGCCACCCCCTTCATCCCTCCTGGACATCTGACACGCGACCGGCCCTTACCTGCTGGTTCTCTTTAGCTACCTGCTGCTTGCCTGAGAGGACCCAGGCTTCTTCACAGCAGCCCCTCAGGGCCAGGTTCTCCAAAAGGAGGGGTTGCACAGCCTCCACTTGAACAGTCCTAGCCCCCTGGACCCCACCAACGTCCTCAAAGTGGTACCTGGAGTGGGGAGGAGCAGGGTCACGGAGGAACATCTCTCACCACTGCCCCACAAGCATCTCTTCGGTCTAGGTCATTGCCCAGATTAACCGTCCAGCCTCAGACCCCGCCCACTTCGTATCCGGCCCTCCCATTGGCCAGCCACCGGTCCGCTCTCCTCACCGCGCGGCCTCTTCTCCCTGCACGTGGGCCTGCAGCTCCAGAAGTTCCACGATCAGGCTCTGGTCTGTCATGCGGTGGCAGAAAACTTCTTGATTATCCGGAACCGGTCGGAGGTCGCTGGAGAGAGGTGAAGCAGGCCCTGGTTGATTCCGGCTGCTTTCCGCAACCCACCAGATTGTCCTCCAAACGTGCCGGGACTTTCTCACCTTACATCAATGGCTCCGGGAGGGAGCGTGGCGGAGAAGGCGCCCCCGAACAGTGGATAGTCTCGCGAGGGTTCCATGGGCAAGGGACTAGAGAAATTTAAAAGAAAACTACATGGGGCCACGTAGTATCACTGCCTTGCGTTTTGCCACCGCCACCCCCGGTCTTCCTTCGCTCCAGCCCTTTATGGTTTGGCCCCGCCCTGCGGCCGCGCGGGCCAGTCGACGCCGGCGCCTTCGGCCGCGGCCCAGTAGGGCTGCTCCCGGAAGCCACGTTCCTAGGAGGGCGCGGGGCGGGACCGCGGGGTCGCCTGGTAGCTAAAACCCTGGTTCAGGATTTGCACGTCCTGTGTTTACTAACTCGCGCCCGCCAGTCTTCTCCTTTTAAAGGTGTCACGCATTCTAAGAATGTCGCCTGAGACCCTCCGTAGGATTCGGAAGTGACCACCGTCTAGGCGTAGTCGGTCTCTGAGTCAGGAGAATGTTTTCAGTCACCCAGCTCCCTCCAATGGGCCTCTTGACAGCGAATGAGCTGCCAACCAGATCGCTAATTCCCGGATCGGTTGCAGGGAAGTGAGGGAACAATGAGGCCAGGTGTGGGTTAGGATTCCGGCCTCCTTCCTGAAAGCGAAACCCAACCTGGGGATTATATATCCAATCCTTCTCAAATCTTCGCCTTGGGAGCACGGTGAGGGAGTGGGGAGGAGGGCCCATACCGCCCCCCATACACCTGGCGAAAGCACAGATTAAACCCCCTGTTGTTTTTAAAGATTTTTAGAATGTACTTAAAGTTTCTGCTCAGTTATATCCTCCTAGCTAATTTCTCCATTCATCTTTGATCCCCAACACCTGGCAGCGTGTTTAGAATACAACAGTCCTATTATGTATTGAGTGATTGAATAAACCCAATTGTGTGAGTTCTGGAACTCAGGGGACCAGTCTTGCCCTCAGAGGTTCTAGATGTCACCTCTTCTCAGCCAAATATTGAGCAAGAGGAGTCTCATTCTAAGGCCATCTCACTCACAGGATTCCAAGTACTGACCATTGGTTTTGTAACACGGGGGCCAGAACACACATCTTTTTTGGTACCTGTGTGAAGAGCTGGAGGAGATACAGAGGCAATTAGGACAAAACCCTGCCTCACCAGAGGTATACAAGGAATTGTGGAGTACTCTTTGAGTCTTAAAGGTTGACTCAGAAATCAGGACAGCCTAGGAGTATTTTAGCCAGGGAAACATCAGAAGCAAAAACTTAGAGATGAAAGGGCATATTTAGGGAAACCCAATAAAGATTCCCCTGACTTCCCAAAGGTTCAACAACGATTTTTCTTTCGACTTCACAGTGGTGCAAAAGCTATATCCATTCAGGAGGAACTTGATGGCGAATTTTGAATTTTGATTGTTTGCTGGGCTAAGCGATATGAGGTATGATACTCTACAGGGTTACTCATTGTGTTAGGTGATTTTTGCCCAACTGTAGGCTAATATAAGTGTTCTGAGCACATTTAAGGTAGGCTAGTCTAAGCTATGATGTTCAGTAGGTTAGGTGTATTAAATGCATTTTTGACTTATGATATTTTCAACTTACAATGGGTTTATGGGATGGAACCCCATCATTGTAAGTTGACAAATGTCTGTTTATCACTTTGGCAAGGGTGCAGTAGGGAATGGGTGGCAGGGAGCTGTGAATGATGAGGCTAGAGAGGTAGCAATGTGCTGAGTATATATAGAGCATACTAAGGACTTCTCTCAGCATCATTTCGTCATTTCTAAAACATTTGTTAGGATTTAGGAAATATGAATGCAGCTGAATCTGTTTCTGGGCAAAGAAAGTGAATTAGGTTTGATCCAGGAGAAATTCTAGAGAGGAAGGGAGTGTCATAGACCCCAGAGGGTGAGAGGAGCCTGGACATGGGAAACCAAGGAAGCCAGATCACAGAGGTCTACCCCATGCTTCTCTCAGAAGGGGAGTGATAGACCTTTCTGTCTCTCCCTCCCATTTCTGCTGGCCTACCATCTGCCTCTTGCTCACCACCAGGGGTAATATCAGCTCTGGCTGCTTTGTGAGCAATCAAGCAAATAGGGAGCCCTTGGAAAGGGACCTGCAAGGGCATAGTGTTAACAGGGCCTTGGCACTGGACACAAGGGTGGTCACACTATATTATGGAGACTAAAGAGAAAGCCCCCAACTTCATTATTTTAGGTCTCTGGCATGCCAGGAGTCATGATCTGCTTGCTATGAGCCCTGTGCAGCTGGGGACTCCCCTATTCTTGAGCTGTTGGGGCACGGGTTAGGTGTGCTCTTCCAGGTGGTAAGAGGCAAAAGTGACAGAGGTGCAGGGCCAGACCTCCTCTGGGAGAATGGGGTTAAAGGCCACCCTAACTTTGCAAATACCCACTCTTGACTCAACTCTCTCATCCTTCACCTCTCTCTGTGTCTGTTCCTTTTTCTGGACCTCCCAACTGCTGACTCCCCCTGTGTGTTCAAATTCAAACTCCCCAAGAGACAGGATCTAACTGGGTTGATTAGTTGACATTCAATCTGAAAGTACCTATTTGGCCAGCTCTCATGCTTGGCCACTTCCCAAACCACTAGCCGGACGTTAATGAGATCCCTGGTCCAGCTGGCGGTGGCTAGAATGAGTATCATGGAACAAATTTTATTAGCTGAGATGGCCCACAGCCACTTTTCTCAAGGGTGTGAGGGTATGTCTAGCTCTCAGCTCACTGGTTGAAGTAGGCCATCAACTGATGGATTCTGTACCCCTGGGACTGCCCTTATCCAATACCCTACATGCAGTTGATGCAGTTATTTGCTTTGGAGAGAGGTGTCCCAGGGCCTTTGAGGGCACCGAGACTCGGACCAGAGAAATCACTCAACACCCAGAGTCAAGCATCCTACTGAGAAGAGTTAAGGCAAAATATATTTTTATTAAGCAGGAGTTTTTAACCTTCTTTCATGCACTCTCTTGGCAGTTTGGTGAAGCCCTTGGATCACTACTTGGAAAATGTTTCTAAATTCATAAAATAAACTATATAGAAATATAAAGGTAATGAAAATATTTAAATAAAATTATCAAAATTAAAATCCCAGCCCGGATGGTGTGGTTCAGTGGATTGAGCATCCTCCCATGGACTGAGAGGTCCCAGTTTGATACCCAGTCAGGGCACATGTCCAGGTTGCAGACTTGATCCCCAGTGGGGGAGATGTAGGAGACAGCTGATAGATGTTTCTCTCTCACATCAATGTTTCTATCTCTCCTTTTCTCTCTCTAAAAAAAAAAAAAAATCAATAAAAACATTTTTTTAAAAAGAAAGTGAGGGAACTGTTGTTTTAAAAAAATTAAAACCCCAGGCCTTGGCTTGTGTGGTTCAGTGGTTAGACCATCAGCCTGTGCACAGAAGGGTTTCGGGCTCATTCCCAGTCAAGGGTTGCAGGTTTGATCTTTGGACCTAGTCAGGCACAGGCAACCAATTGATGTGATGTTTCTCTCTCTCTCTTTTCCCTCCTACTCTCTCTAAACATCAAAGGAAAAAATATCCTTGGGTGAGGATTAACAAAACAAAAAATTAAAACCCCAGGTTTTTGATATAGTAAAAATGTGCTTCTTTGTTATATTAACTAGATCTTAGTCTAGGAAGTGTAATGTCAAACTAATGATGCACCTAAATCATAGTTCAAATTATTTACAACTCCTACATGAGGGAGACTATCTGATTGATGTTGTGACAATCTCTGGTACTGTGAGCACTACTGTACTTTTTTTTTAAATA